TACAGCTTTATATTTATTTCCTTGCTTTTAGCCAGGCCTAGAAGCATCGACACTCCAGTAGCAATGCGTACACTCAGCACCCAGATCTTGGTTTCTAAATATAATTCTCATTAAAGGGACTCAAGACTCCCTGGAGAAATGGCTGATAACAGGGCTGGGGCAGCGAAGATACAAGATAAGCTTGAAACATCTTGTCAAGCCAGAAAGTGTTCAGAAAATGAAGGGGACATGTGAAAAAGACATAGGAGCCGGCTAGAAATAGGGAATGGATTGAAAATCAAAATAAATAAAAACAATGACTTGCACTGAGTAATAGGAATCCATTCATCCACATGATAAACAAGCAGATTAATAAGTAAGGAGAAAAGATACTTTTCTTTTTTTAATTTATTGATTTGAGAGATGTGGGGAGACATGGGACAGGAGTTGACTGAAGGCGGCTGCCCATGCCTTGACTTTTCCAAACAAGTCTAAACTGCCGTGTGTTTACTGAAATCTTTATGCTTAGTCTTCAGACGTCCTTGCTTAAAGGACACTGCAGATGTACTTTCTCAAGGATGCTTACCCTGCTGATAGTATCTAATAGTTAATTTTAGTTCAAGCTGTTGTTACAATAAAAGCCTAAAGAGGCAGGCAAACGGGCTGTTTGGTTTCTCAAGCCAAGCAGTCCCTTAGCCGTCTCTTTCATAGAACGTGTGTCAGAGTGACCACTCATCGGTTGCTCAGGGTCTGCCGTCAGCCCCGGCAGAGATAAAGAGAAAGCAAAAAACATTGATTTGTTGTTCCATTTATTTATGCATTCATTGGTTGATTCTTGTATGTGGGGATTGAACCTGCAAACGTGGCATATTGGGATAATACTCTAACCCAGCTACCCTCCCCGGCCAGGGCAAAATATACTTTTCTTTAGAAGTAGAATGCCAACCAATAAATGTAGAAGAAATTATAGAATGGGAAAATCACAGTGGATAATGAGCAAAATATTTACATGATCTCAAAGTATCTCCCCACAAATTATGTAATTCTTCATTCAATTACAAAGGGGAAGATAGTAAATTTAAAATGGATAAACTGCAAACATCAACTTAACCCAGTGATCAGAGTAAACTTCAGCATTAATGGGACCAACTGACATCACTTCTGTGATGTCAAAACCCCTAATCTAGTCATGTGGAACCAGGAGACCAATCCAAATTGAGGAACATTCTACAAACTACCTGGCCTGTATTCTTAAAAAATGCCAACGTAATGAAAGGCTAGGGAACTCTTCAAGATTCAAAGAGACACATGTAACCATGTGGTACAGCTAAATGTAACATAATCCTGCACCAAGAAAAAGGAAATTGCTGGCCCAGACCGCCGCCGCCGCAGCCATGGCCGAGCGCTGCGCCTTCGCCCAGAAGATCAGCAGAACCAAGATGGCGGCATAGGTTAACGCCGGAGTTTGCTGCCTCGAACAACCACTTCAAAAATACAACTAAAAGACGGAACGGACATCACCCAGAACCACAGGAAGGCTGGCTGAGGAGAGATTCTACAACTAGAAG